CCGCCCGGCTCCGGCAGCGTGAGCCCGCGCACTCACCCCAGGCGTGCGTCTTCCTGCGGGCTCCCCCTCATGTTGCTGCTGCGCCTGCTGCTGCTGCTGCTGATAATTTCCTCTGAGTAGCTTTTCCCGGGGTAGTCTTACCAAATCCTCCTGCCTGCGTCTGACTGGGTGGGATTGAAAATCTCCACCTCCGCTAAATCAGGGAAAGAAAGAGACAGACTGAAGGAGAGCGTCCCCTCTTTTCTGCCCCCTCCCCCAATTAAAACAAACCTCCAGCCCAAACTGAGCCCCTGCCAATGTTAAACACAAAGGCTGCCTCCCGGGCACAGGGGATCACTGAGCTCTTTAACTGTTTCCTCCCTGAAATGGAGCTGAAGTACTTCACTGGACTCATTTAAGCAACAGTAGTGGGAATCCACTACTGTAGCTGTCTGCTAAAGTAGCACAGGCATTTCACAGAAACATTGTAAGTATGGTTGCCCCAGACTGTATAAGAACGAAAAGCAGAGCAGGGAGAAAAATCTCGTGATATAGTTTTTGTTTTGTGTTTTCCCCAGGTTTGGGTAGGATTATAGTATTTTCCAAGACAATCAGTAAAACTAGAAGTGTAAGAGTTTCTGGATCTTTCAGGAGTGACTGTTCCTGGATGGAATTTTTTGTGATCCATCCAAGACCACTTTGCTAGTACCTCTTATCTGTTTCCAGACCAAAAAAGCATTTAAAAAGATAATAAAAGCATAGCATATACTAGCATTTCTGTGTTTCCTAATACTGTTCTGTCAAGGTATTCTGTCAAGGATGTGCATTTCGGGTTAAATTTCCATCTGGCTGTACCCCAGAAATAATTTTCTAAACATATATGGGCTTCTTTTGAATATAAAAGGGCAATCTTCCTAAATGGGATGTAAAAATATGTAGTCCTAGAAGAGTAAGAACCAATTGAAAGGAACAAAAGAAAATGTTACGCCTAAAGGTCTGCAGAGTTAAAATATCTGGCACCAAATCATGTGAGAAATTGTTTTGATCTTTATATGAGTATTAGATAATAAAAAGCTTCTATAGATGCTCTCTTAAATCATCTGACAAACCTGGTACAGAAAAAAGCAGCATCTGGATCAACTGGAACAGTAACACTTTATTTCTTCTAGAAAACCATCTCAGTTATATGATGAGTCAGAACATAAGATCTTTGAAGGAACAGAAGTGTTCAGGCTGACAATCTTAAGAAGCCTACTGTTTGCAAATCAGGTAAAAATGTTTAATTCAAAATCTCAAGTTGTCTTGAAATTGAATAAATGTGATAAGCCACTAAATTGGCCATGTGATATTTGTGAAAGTTATTTAAAAATTCCTTACAGTTTTGTCACAGATGCTTAGTATTACTGGTAGGCTTTGTCAAGAATCACCTGTATAATAATTTATTGACAAAACTATTAAAGACCTAGAAAGCATGTACCTATAGATCATGCACACTTTAGGAGTGCTTCATCAAATGCAATTCTTAAATCTCTTATATATTCTCCAAACATTCCTAACACCCTATGCATTTCCTCGGGTCATTTGACCTTTATATCTAAACAACTTGACTTGCCCAGCAAGATTAAGTTTAGATTTCTGATCTCATTCAAACACACATTTTTCCTTCCAGTTCATAATTCTATTAATTTAGAAGGTTCCTATAATCTATTCAGACACTGTCATGCTTAATTATATTTACTATGAAATGGAATAATTGGATTTAGTAATGCTGCTAAAGTCTATTTTAAAATATGAAAAGGGAGAACTATTTATTACCATTGTGAATTCCTCTATTATTACCAACCCACATAAATTGTATTAATTATTAGAAATTACTGTATTGCTCGTAGTGGTTCCGTGATCTTTGTTGTTGTTATTGTTCCTTATTTGGTAACTGAACCTTTGTTTTGCCTTTAATCTTGCCAGGTACCTAAAACTGAGCTGAATTCTTATCTGAGACTAAGTTAAATTCAGAAGTTATATTTAATCATTCCTG